TTGCATCACGAATGGGTCGACTCGGCCGGGGAAGGACCATCGACACCAGCAGAATATCAGCGTAATGCTAATTAATACTTTGTATGCCGATTGTCTTTTCAGGTCGTAACTCCATCTAGTGTGGGTCCACCCCATACTTCATCTACTGGTACGAGGCTGCAACTCGAGAACCTTCGATGGGGAAGAAAGTTGGCACAGGACCATGCTTTATGGCATTATTTGGGGAAGACCTATGTTCAGCAGTGAAATTATGAAGGGCTGTGATGATGATGATGATGGTGGTGGTGGTGAGTGTAGAGTAATGAGATATTTATCTTAGTGCTCAGGGGTAACAATGCATCTACATTTTGATTCTTAATCGGGGATAGATATAGGTGTTTATGAACACAGCATTTACTTAACACTATAATGTTGACTGTGTGCTTGTTTATGTGCACGCCTTACTTACTTACTTATCTTCACGCACAATCCCTAACGGGGTAGCTAGAGAGAACAGATCGCCAAGTGTCACGATCCTTACATACCTCTTTCGCTTCTTTCAGGTTCATTATCTTCTTCATACATGCACGTCTAGGTATCCGAGTACTCTTGACCTTCCCCTCTTCGAGTAATTTGCTCACATGGTCCTCGAAAGTTAGTCTCGGTCTACCTCGACACCTTTTAATATTTACTTTCGCGCTATATATTTTCTTCACCATTCGGTCTTCACTCATTCGCTCAACGTGCCCACCTTATTGTGCACGCCTTATTGTACGCCTTATTGTATCAAAAAAAGTTTTGGTTGGGGTTCTCAATGGAAACTCTTATGTATCGAAACACAACGTTTTTTTAGTCATAATAAATCACAGAAACAAAACACGCTAGACGATGAGATGCAATGCCATTAGTACCAAATTACAATTATAACAGGAGTAAAACTAGCATGAAATCTAATTTTATCAGAATCTGAGAATATCTTAATTTCTGCTCTAATTGCAAATACTTGCTATTAACATGACAGGGTGAAAAATTGCGTGATAAGAGATAAATGTGGTATGCAAGATGATGTGATCAGGACTAAAAAAGGAATGCTTCGGTGGTTTGGTCATGTAGAAAGAATGAATGAGAAAACAGTGACAAAGCAAATTTATATGGCAGATGTGAATGGCAGAGTCGGGAAGGGACGCCCTAGAAGAAAGTTTATCAATTTGGCGATATTTTGAAAATGGGCTACGTTAGAAGTACCCTTAACCGACGAGCATGTATGCGTAGATATATGGATGTAAAGGAGGCGAAAGAGGTATGTCTGGATTGTGCCAAATGGAAGTCCGTAGTCTCTGCCTGCCCCTCTGGGTGACAGGCGTGAGTGTTTATGTTTTTAAGTTTATTAAGATGACCTAATAGTACTGCAATTAAATTTAAATAAATTTCAGCATACATACGTCCCAATCTGGGCACGGGCCTCCTCTCATTTCTGAGAGGGTTTAGGGCAAGGAAATATCTGCCGCGCTGCCTCAATGCCCATTTTCTAACTTCACATATCTTCGTAATATTTTTTTTCTTATATCTCAGACATACAGATTTCCTCACGACGTTTTTCTTCACCGTCGAGCACTTGGTAAATCAGCACCTACAATTGCTATTAACAATTTCATTGGTACCGGCGGGGATCGAACCCGGGTTGCTGTTGCGTATTGTGAAATTTAGAGCGAGCGCTAAGCTCTGCCTCTTTCCTAGTATAATCCTCAGCTACTACGGCTCTCGTCTGCCGTTAGGACACAAGTAATATGCACGTAAATCATGGAGTTATCCTAGGTTTTTTTATTGATATTTTTGGAAATGGCTCTAACGATTTGGATGCAATTTTGTATCTTGTTACAAATGAATTTGAAATCATCGATACCTATACAATAAACAATTACATACAAGATTATTAGGTGTACAATTAATTTAGATTTAAAATTAAGATTTTTGGGTAATCGTTGTACACCATAAAAGGAACTGCTATATCTTATATAGTGGTGGTTCAATACTGTTAGGACAATGGATGGTACAGTCCGCAGACGGGCACGCCGCACATCCCTCTACACCGTACACCGCCCAGAACATCGAAGGACACGAGTTAACTGTCAGAGCCGGGCCCGCCACCCCCTACTCGGACGGCAGTTAGATAACTCAACCACGTGCACAGTACACTGTCACAGATTTAAATAGATCCCGAGACCTACGAAGCTGTAAAAGCCAAATAGCTAACAGCATTAAAATCATCAGAAATCTACCACTCTGATTTCAGTCGAGTTCACTCTCTGCAAGTGCGTCACACTACTAGTAGCTGTATGTCCTTTAAGTGAAGTATAAATTACTGTGATTGGTTTCTCGACCAAATAAAAAGTGTTACAAAGTAATTTGTTTTACTCCATACTTATTAAAAATCTATAGAAAACTAACAAACTATCGTATAATGAATCCGAAACAGGCTGCTTCATGTGTCGAAATTGGAGGACGAAATAACGACTACTCACGATAACATTAATGTAGAACGAATGGATTTTGCGGTGCGGCAATGTGCAAGTAGCAGTTGCTACGTTGATCTTATGTACTTAGTTGGAAACAAGTTGTTATAATATGTAATTTGAGTAGTCTACCCGATAATAACTACTGTAGCCCATAAACACCTACACATGTCCTCATTAAGAGACGAAACCAAAGTTAATTTTGTTAAAATCCGCATTAAAAGATATGGTATGATTATGTATTTCTGTGTCTTATTACCATGATAAGGTGCTAACAGTTGGACATACTCTTTGGCACGTGGTGCTGTTTAGACTAGGTATTAAGTAACGTCCTGATGACCGAATTTCGGTCATGGAGGCGAGTCTCAACAGATACCAGTCATATGATAGGGACAGAATTATAGAGTTATCTAGTTAATAATTAGTAATCTATACCTTGGATTTTGGACCATTGATCCTACACTAGGATTTTCTCCCGAATCGTGGGGGCAGTTTACATACATAAATTTTACAGGGACGAACACTTTCTGACCCGGAACAATTATTTGTAGTTTGTAGGCCATACATATACAGTGGACCCCCGAAAATCCGACAAACATTTTGCAGGGCAGTGTCGCTCTATCGAATTTGTCGGATTATAGAGTACTGCCTAAGAAGACCCCTATACTCCGGGTTTTTTTTTACAAAAGTGTACCCTGTAATCCGACAAATCACAGATCAGTGATAGATTCTATATGTTATATATATGAACTCTGAAGTACAAATCATACTTCATTATGTATGTCAAATTTAGTAAATTAAATAACATAATAAAGAGCTTACGTTTTATTGTAAAATTAACGTCATTAAAGCTATAGAACTTACAAAAAATATGCAATAACTTTACATTAGGAAATAATTGTGTACAAACAAATGTACATACTAAAATAGTCAAAAACGTAACCCTTCCTTGACAGTCGGGCAAAAATTATTAATCAATCAATTTAAGAGCGTTATCAAGATGCAATAACGCTTTTTGAGGAAAATTATGGTTTTTCACAATCATTTTCATAATCAAATTTTTCAATCACAATATTCAATCAATAGATCACGTCGGATTACAGGGGGTGCCGGATTGCCGGGGGTCCACTGTACTTATTACGAGCGGGATTCAAACCCGCGGCCACTCATTGCTAAGTCACTGTGCCACGGAGCCGTCAACCGTCACATTTATATAGGTTTTCGCGGCGTACGTGAGCTTATGTCCTAATCTTCTTTATGTAATTCTAGCCTTAATGTATTTTTGCTGTCAATTTGATTTATATGTCAAAACATTTAGTTATACAAAACATGTAGTCCGAGAAAATGGCTTCCGTAAACATCATGCGTTAAATCACAATAATTTGCTGTCACTAAACCGGTTAAAAACGTAAAAGAAAATGCAGTATTCCAAATGGACTTGGGAGCCAATAGAAGTTCGTATATTGAAGGAACAATTGGCAAACTTGACTTGCAAGTGCATTAACTGCAAAAAGTACAACAGGTCAAATACAACGCGACAAAATGCAGGTGTTCAAGTTGATAAGAGGGATAGTGCCCTTGGCCGGTTTAGTCAAGTAACATCGGATTGCAGAATTAATGAAAATAAACTCGATAAGGCAAACAGTAACAATTTGAAAAGTAATCTTTGTGGAGGCGTTACTTGTCCCAGTTGCCGTTACATTATAGACTTTTTATGTGGAAGTTTGATTAAAATTTTAAAAGACGAAGAATCTGAAGCAAAACCAGTAATGGGTTGTGACAAATGGACAGAAAATCCCGTTGACTACGCTGAGAAGACTACATCTATGACAAAGAAATGTAGTTCTTCCTGTAATAACATAAAAAGGCGATTTTCTTCTGAAGCTTTCACACCAGACAACGAAGGAAGAGATTCCGAAAAATTTACATTTGTGGATTCCCAAAAGGGGACATTCGTACATTCAAAGCCGTTTATTTACGGAAACTGTGTATGCTTGGAAAATTTTATTAACACAATTAGACCGCTATAGAGAAATGAGGCGACATTATTTGCTGTTTATTAAACTGACGTTAACTATACGAAGTACACAAGTTTATCATTTAGTATAAATAGTGCATCACTTCTAAATAACCTTATACATCATTACAGCTCATCATAAATGCACTGCTGAACATAAGGCTTCCTCAAGAATTGCCACAAAGCACATTTCTGTTCTATCTGCATCTCCTACAAAGTCGACATTCAATCGCCAATCGCTCAATCAAGACGCCCTATTTACCTATATTTCACTAACCGGTACGAGGCTGCTACTCGAAAACCTTTGTTCACTATGTTTTAACCTTTGTATGGCTTATTTTTAGTAAATCGATGCAACTTCTTTAGCTTAAAAAATATGTAAAAATAAATAATTTTCGAAAAAATGTTAAATTTTTTAAATGTTAGCAGAGGTGTACAAATTTTACTATAGAAATAATTTATACAATTTTCGAAATTAGCTTTATTCTTTATCACGTAGCTGCATAATGTTTGATAAATCTCGCAGAAGGATCTGAAACTTGAACCCATTTTGGCATCCAGTAATAAGGGGTAAAGTTATGCTGTCCTGGAAAAGATTTTTCAAATACATAGCGGTAATACTTGGATTCGGTGCTGGTCGGCTGGAGACCGTCGTATTGTTGGTTATTTTCCGGCAACCTTTCCGCTATGATTTCAGATATTGTCGTGAACAAAGATTTTTTCACTGATGCAACTCCATCACTGAAAGCTTCTTTGTGTCGCCACAAAATAGAATCTGGCAACAGATGGCTTTTAGCGAAGCTACTGCGTAATAAATGCTTTTCTACACCGTTTTCTGGTTGTCGCAGTTTCGGTTCAATGCTGAGATAATGGTGGGTGAACTGAATATCCAAGAACGGTACCCTAAGTTCCAGACTGAAAGCGCTGGTTGTTCTGTCTGCACGAAGTCCATCATAAAGATAAATATCGGATAGTAATCGAATACTTTCTTCATGAGCAGTCGATGCTGATGGCGCATCTCTAAAGTATATATAACCTTGTGCTAATTCGTCCGCTCCTTCGCCACTAAACACTACTGTCGTATCCGTGTTTTCTTTAATATACTTTGACAAAAGGTACATCGGTAAGCTAGCACGTATTGTGGTGATATCAAATGACTCTAAATGATAAATTACATGGTCTAGAGCGCTTCTTACATCATTCTCATCAAATTTGACTTCATGGTGTTCAGTACCGAGATAGTCGGCTACCGTACGAGCTGCAGCGAGATCAGGGGAATCACCCATACCAATCGCAAAGGTTTGTATTTTATAACGCAATTTATGCTCTTTAGCCAGTTTCACAACTAAAGCAGTTATTAATGAAGAATCTAATCCACCGCTAAGAAGACACCCGATTCGTCGATCAGACATTAGCCTTTTTTTACATGAGGCTTCCAACAAATATGCAGTTTTCTCATATATGCTGTTTAACTTCGCTAGTTCCTCTGTCGACACATAAGGCACAAAATGAGGAGGTATGCCTGGCGTGAAGTACCGTTCAGCATAATCTAATTTTACTTTGCCCCCGTCTAATAAACTCCAAACTTCGAAGTGGCCAGGGGGGAATTGACCAAGACTAGAATGTTCACTGGCCTTTTGTTTTAAACCGATGAGACCTTTAGCCTCTGAACAAATAGCCATTAATCCCTGCTTATCATCTTGTAATTTAAATAGGGGACGGACACCATACGGGTCCCGTGCAACGTAAACTTTTCGCGCTTCACCGTCAATTAAGCAAAATGCAAATACACCATCTAATTGTGCAACAGTGTCAGCAATACCGAATTTTTTATACATATGAATGATGGCCTCGACGTCACAGTTTGTTTCATAAGCAAAGCTGTATTGATCTCGTAGTCGTTTACAATTATAGATTTCGCCATTGCAGATTAAAGTCACTCGAGGGAAACAATGCAACCGCATCGGTTGCATTCCATGCAAGCCATCTACGATGGCCAGTCTTTGGAAGCCAAGTACGACTTGAGGCTCACGTGAATCCTGTTCAATGCGCCATGCATCCGGACCACGATGCACGATAGCCGCAAAGCATTTTATGCATGTCGGACTTAAGCCTCCGTCAGCACCGAAAGTTGCCCAGATTCCACACATTTGACTGTTTCTGAAAAGCAGATCATTTGCCTTTTTAACAATCAAGTTAATAGTACGTACTGAGAATGGAAAAACTCTAAACAAAGCCGAGATTATTTTGTTATTTTTTATAGGATAAGGGTGACAAACGAGCACATAGTCCACTTGATGTTAAGTGGTTGCCGTGGTCCATAGACATCTACTCTTATCCTCGATTACGATTCAAAATGCAGATACGTTGTCACCCGTGAGGACTAAGATGGAATGCTTCGTTTCCACTGAAATGGGTGTCGGGTTCTCTACACTCACTATACCAAACACAACAGTATTAAGCTGCAATTTTACGCTGGTATTCTGTGGGAGCGTGTTCCTACCACGGTTGAGCCGACCCATTCGAGCTGCAATTATACTACTAATGATTAAACATATCGTAATTAAATAATAATTATTAAAAGTAAATAATAAATAAATACTGACTCGTTGGTCTAGTGGTTGAGTAGTACGACTGCTGATCATGAGGTCCTGGGTTAGAATCCCGGGTCGGGCCAAAAAAAAAACTAATCATTGAGTTTTTCCGTCAAGAAATTCTCAGTAGTTGCCCGGAGTCAGGAAGTCGGCGTTGTCTCACCCCCGTGCCTCGGAAAGCACGTAAAGCCGTTGGTCCTGCGCCTGATCTCTCTCCGGTCGTGTCGGTTTACCGTCTCATCGGATTATGAGAGTGAGGGAATAGAGTGCACCTATGCTTGCGCATACACTTGGGCACTATAATCCTGTCCTGCGCCGACTGGACTTCAAAGTCCTTTATATTGAGGTGTGAGTGGAACGCATGGAAGACGACCCAAGAAGCGGTGGACCTTTGCTGTCCACTTCACATAAAATATTTGACGTAATTCATAAAATGATTTAGAAAGATCTAAAATTAAAAGAGCAAGCAATAGCTGAAAATTTCTCATGGGTTTCAACTGAGCGAACATCGTATGTATTAAAGGTTCTTCACTTCATTTAAAAATGAGCCTTTCTACCTTGTACGGAGAATTTACCACGCTTGTCAAGCGGATTGGCGTCTTGCCTAATGCTAATCAAAAATTCAAATGTGTTTTTAAAGAAAGTCTAACGATGTTTAAAAATAATACTTACTGGAGACTACTTTTACTTTACTTGATTCATGCTTTGAATAAAACAATTTTTACGGATTTTATCGCGTTTAATTTACTTATTTTTAAATCCCGACTTTTCGTTTTCGAAATGAGATGATTGATGTCCCAATGTCAAGGTTAACCTGGAGTACCTTCAGCTTTTTAATTATTGATTTTTGCTTTTGGTACGAACTACGCAAAATGAGCCAGCCCTCTCCCCTATTGAAATTAGGATATTTTTAATTTCAATCCCATCGCCTATTCCAGTTTCCCTCCGTCGCCTCTTACGACACTCACGGGATGATATGGGCCGTGTAATGGCTATTTAAAAATTTACGGAACAAAATTTCCGACAGTAATTACCTACTTAAATTGAATAAATAATTAGGCAAATGAATGAAAAGTAGCCTAAGGCAATAAACTAAAGGTTAGCGTAGTATAAATGTACAATATGTTACAATAGCTAACTTAAAACGCTCTTAACAGTAAAATTAAATTTCGAAGCCTTAGGAACGATAAGTAGGTACTAGTTTTTATTTTTATAATTATTATTGATGGTTTACTTATTTGATCGATTTTATATTATCGCCACGGTCGGCTAAAGGATTGTCGGTTGGCGATTGTACAACTAGACGGCTTGCACGCTGCGTATTATGGATACACAAACTAACTACTACGTAGGTATATTATATGGATATTAAATCTAGTTTAGCGGTTTCAAAATTTTTTCAAAGCAATTATCTATATTTTTTTCCAAATTTTCCTTAGTTGAATAAGGTGTACCTAGATACCTATTAGATTTAGTATTAATTGACTTAAAATATAAACGTCTCTTATTAAAATTAGGTACCTATTTATATTTAAGATTAATTTTTAACTAACCTTTAACACTGAAAACGGAAAAATGTTTACGAATATGTATTTTAAAAATAAAAATAAATGCAATAAACTTATAGCTACGTATCTAACACGTAAACAAACCAAGATTAACACCTAACACTATGACACTATGAGTAGTTTCAGTGCTTTGACTAAAACTAAAGCTACGCACTAAAGCTAAAGTCGTCTTTAACCAAAGAGAGAAACTAAAAGCACAGAACACTATTACTCCTACTAATAAAAGTCTAACCAATGGAAAACAGAAAATGCGGCAAGTGTATATTATCACAGAATAAAAATAGGTAGTTATGTAATTACCAAAGATAATGAATTACCTACTAGCACTTATTATACTCTTTGGCTCTTTGCTAGTTTGCTACTATCGTAGACAGAGAAACCTAAATGCAAAAGGAGGCGTCAATTTGTCTATAGGTTTCTCTGTCTACGGCTACTATAATATCCATAGACTTGAATATACTGGCAATCTATGTAAGCATTGAGTTATACAACACTAGAGGAGCAAACCACATTACCGCGCGTCGAAAAAAGTGTAACCACTATCCAACCGCGACGACGTAGCTTTGAAACTAATAACAATTTTAAATAAACATATATCTATCTCACTTACACAAGTTGTGAAAACAATATCGTCGTTATATATTAGATAAAGATAGACACAAAAACATGCAATGGCGGGTTGGGTTGGCTTACTATATGAAATTTTACCTAAAATACGCAATAAAAATATTTTTTAAACTGCAGTTAATTGTTTTATTTTAATAAAAGTTATTTTATTTCAATATTGCGTCCCCTTAGAAAAAAGGATACAAAGCTTATCAGATGAATAGGAGTAAACATAATGATGAAATAAAACATATTTTTATAAGTATTTTTATTGTACTAATAAATCAAACAATATAAAATAGGCAATAAAATATAATTAATAAAAAATTTATATGAAATTCTAAAATAGGTAATAAAATATATTTAATAGATAATTCATGAATAAACTAAAATAAGAATAATTAGTTATTTTGTATGAAAGTTAAAACGTAGTTTTTATTATAATTTCCAAAATATTTAAAATCAGAGGTAACAAATTAACTTAATCAATAATTATATAGTCTCCCATTAATGTAGGATAGTCACAAATACGGAAAAGTGGCAACATTGAACCTAAATGGCAATATTCGATAATTTTATTTAATTATTTGAGGTTTTTTTATGTTTATATGAAAACAAGGACTAAAAATTATGTGTTAAAAGTGAATTCCCTTGATTTATTACGTTTTTGTGACCTTGAATAGCATTCTTTCACTACGCATTTACTCATTTTTTGTCGCGGCTCAACTTTGTCGGCGTCACAATGAACACTGAACCGACGTTAGCTAGGCATTATGGCTGTGGCTATATTTGCAGTGGCAACGCCTTGGCGCAGTAATTACCGATCTAGTGTAATATATAAATCGATGATCATAAGCATCAACTTTAGTACTCTTATTAGTTTGTGGTTCAACGTCTAGATTATGGAGTGTAGAAGTAAGGAGTAAAGAATGTGTATTAAAAAGTGGCCGTAGAAAACCGTTAAATAATGGTGGCACCACTATAGCTTCGGGGTAAATTTTAAAGAACGCGCCGAAAAATGTTAGTGGAATAGACGACTTTTTCGAGGTTATATTTACTAAATAAAATTATGTTATATTTTAGAGCTACTGAGCAGTTTAGCAGCACACTTAAACCGTCGACAACTGCTAAGTCCATTTCATCCCAGTAGCTTCTCCAGCGCTGTTGTGGACAGTTTTTGTGCTGTTATTTACTGCTTACAGATGGCTACTTTTTCAACTATTCTACTATGGGAGTTGGTACTCCTTACTTCTACACCCCATAGTTAGATAACAGGAGGACGATCGCTCTAGAAAATAGTGTCCCAGAAATACGGACAAAATAAGTGAGGCACTGCGATCACTAAGTTGTCTCAATAAAAGCGGGCTGTTGTGCGCTATAATTATATTATATTCATAGTTTGAAATGAATATTTAAAAAAAAGAAAGTAACGAAATTATTATTATTTATTAATAAGTAAATTATGTTTTTTATAATTTTAATTATTATAAATTTAATTATTATTGATTTATTATTATTATTATTTAATAATATTTCACCATTTTATAATGTTGCTTTTTTTCAATAATTAAAAAATTATTGTCCTGAACTGCCGTCGGTAAGTAGTATTTGCGAAGGTATCTGTTTATGAGTACAAGTAGATGAAGTTATAATAGTTGAATAATGTACAAATTTTCTTCGCGGTATTGGTGATTATTTAATTTTTGATTGTAATTTTTGACAAAAAAGAAACATTAAAAAATGGTGAAATATTGTATTGTGCGTGGATGTGCAAGTGGTTTAGCATCTTATCGGAAAATTAGACTGAAAATGACTTTCATTGAGACAACTTAGCGATTGCAGCGCCTTACTTATTTTGTCAATATTTCTGGGACACTTTTCCACGGAGGTTAGAGAACAGGAGAACGATCGCTACGTACTAAAGCATAGCCCGCCTGTCCCTGAAAATTTATAGAATTTATAGCCTCGCTGCCGTTGGTAAGTAGTATCTGCGAAATAATTTTTTAATTATTGACAAAAAGAAACATTAAAAAATAGTGAAATAATATAATAATAATAAATCAATAATAATTAATAATTTATATTTGTGATTGTTTATAATATTTGTAATAATTAAAATTATGAAAAACATAATTTGTAATTTATTTATTAATAAAAAATAATATTTTCGTTATTTTTTTTCTTTAAATGATATTATAATCATTT